AAAAAAAACAGACAACCTTTCAGATTCAAGAGCTATTCTTCAAGGCTGAAATACAAGCAGTATCTTCAGTCTTAAAGGCAATTGAACAGTTGGTCTGAGTTTAACTTGATTACATTAAATAGTTAGACTATCTGGGTGAGAAAGTGGTTGGCACCTGTGGAGCAGAAGAGTGGTATGAGCAAGGAAAAAGTTGATAAGATTATTAGCTCCTATTGGGGAAAAAGAGAAAAAGACAGGTAATTCATTGCCTGTGAAAGATGAAGGGGCTTGAGGAGGGAATTACAATGTGCCATAAAGTCAATCTCTCTATTTAGTCTGTAATTTTTAGTGTCCAGCAGGGGTGTGCATTTTAGTACCCTCACTCCTCTTCAAAGGTGCTTTTTCATCTCCCTGGAGAGTTAGGCCTGAGTGGTAGCAGATGGAGTAGCTGTTTTGTGAAAAAAGTCTGTCTGCTAACTGGGAGGTTTTGTCCTTTAGTGATGATCTCTGTGAGTTTTTCCAGTGTGAGATTATTGTTATTTTACTCCCATGGAAACTGTGTGAGCATCTGTCTCACTGATCAGTGCATAATGTTTTCTGGGATGTGCTTATGTAGAAGCCAGGGGTGTTGATGCTTCTGTAGTGGTGCATTTACCATGGTGATCATGGAAACATTGTCAAGTCTCTTATTTTGCTCAGACGCAGTATGCCTCATAGAGTGATTACAATTTTGACTGGAAGTGGTCACTTAGTCCTGAGTCCTGTTTAAGCAAGTATACTGTAAACACTAAATCAAGATTTGCATCTCTGTCTAGCCTAGCAAGTGAAAAAAGTGAAAATCAAAAACCTGCAAAGTCAGAGATTCACCACCTCTCTGGGAAGTTTGTTTCACTGTTGCTCTACACTCCTAGTGAATAAGTCATTCTTGATGTCCACTCTGAACTTTCAAAACTATGGTTTGTGGTCTTTGCATATTTTTATAACATCTGCTGCCTAATAGAAGATTTTGTCTCTGTAACTTCCTTTCAACCTGTTGTAGTCTGCTCTTGGATTCTCCCCCTAAATATTCTCTTTACGAAACTAAGCAACACCAACTCTTTCAATCTTATTTCATTGGTCGTATGCCTCAAGAGCAAGACTGTCATGGTGCGCTCCACCAAACCTTTTCCAGTTCTCAGTACCAGTCTGGAATTTAGGGGCTCTAGACTGGATGTAATATTCCAGATGTAGCCCCACAAGCATCAAGCAGAAGAAAATAAAAATTTGCTTTAAACTTCTTGGCATGCTTCTCCTAATGTAGCCTAGAATGCAGTTTGTTTTATTTGTACTGAGAACATACTTTTGGCAAGTACTACATTAATGTCCACTGCGATCACCAGCCCTACGTTTTGGTAGACCTGACACTTTGCCTGTAGGGTCCCAGCCATGGTGGTGAATTTCAGGAGATTCTTTTTAGCCCAGACATTAAATTTCTTCATCTCTGTCTGAACTAAAGGTCTACTGAGTAACTGTAGCTACCACCTTTAGTTTAATATCATCCACTGCTTTTTGAGGATGCATTCTATATCATCATCCAAGTTGATGACGAAGTATCAGCCTTGTTTTCAAGCCCTTGGGCACTCTGTTTGCTACTGGCTGCTGCCTCAACCTTGAGCCTGGTGGTCAGGCTCAGTTTTCAGTTCATCTAACAGTCCATTTGTCCAGACTTCAGTTTCCAGGCAAGAATGATACAAAGGATAGTATGAAAACCCATGGTTGCTACTCTTCTCTCATCCATGTAGTCAGTTCTGCCACAAAAACGAACCAGGTTGGCTGAACACAGAATCACAAAAAAATTGGAGGGTTTAGGTTGAATGTGAATTCCGAAGGTCACAATAGTCCAAGTTCCTGCCAATAAACAAAACAGGACTGACTTAAAAGCTGAGATTTGGTTGGTTGGAAACTTGTTCAACTGAGTTTTGAATATTTCTGGTGACGAAAATCACCTTTGCTATAGCATATAATTTCACTGGGCACCTTCAAGAAGTGTATGTCTCTACCTCCACTACCCATTAGGTAGTAGAAATCAACAATGTGATCTTGTAGCCTTCTCTTTTCCAGGCTGAACAGGCCCTGCTCCTCCAAACCCCAGCTACACTGGTGGCCCTCCCTGTTATGGTTTTGGTTCAGACAGAGTTAATTTTCTTCATAGAGGCTCAAATAGTGCCATGTTTCGGATTTTTGATGAAAATAGTGGTGATTACACATGGATGGTTTCAGTTGTTGCAGAGCAGTGCTTGCACAGAGCCAAGACCATTTCTGTTCCTCGCACTACCCTGCCAACAAGGGTATGGGGGTGCACCAGGAGCTGGGAGGGGACACAGCCAGGACAGCTGGCCCAGGCTGACCAGAGGGGTGTCCCACACCGTGTGGCATCATGCTCAGCAATAAAGCTGGGGTAAAGAAGGAGGAAGGGGGGACACTGAGAGTGATGGCGTTTGTCTTCCAAAGGAACTGCTCTGCATGACGAGCCCTGCTTTCTTGGAAGTAGCTGAGCACCTGCCTGCTGATGGGAAGCAGCAAATGGGTTCCTTGATTTGCTTTGCTTGTGCACGGCTTCTGCTTTACCCAGTAAGCTGTCCTTATCTCAACCTGTGAGTTCTCACACTTTTACCTCACTGATTCTCTCTCCCATCCCACCTGGGGAGAGTGAGTGAGTGACTGTGTGACACTTAGCTGCTTGCCGGGGTGAAACCGCAATGCCCTTCAAGACTTGCTTTAGTATGTCAGTATTTTCTTCATGCTGGGTCCATGCAGGAGAAATGGGGAAGCCAAACTGGTGCTCCAGATGTGGTTTCACAAGTCAAATTGTAGTGGGTTTATGTGGCAAGGTTTTGGTAGCAGGGGGCCATAAGGGTGACTTCTGTGAGAAGAGTCTAGAAGCTGCCCCATGTTAGGTAAGGGCCCCACTACGGAGCAGAGCCAAGCCAGTAAGAGATGTTGCTTGTGTCCCTGTGAGAACATGTTTAAGAAAGGGGGAAAAAAAAAAAAAAAGCAAAAAAAAAAGCACGCTGCCATACACAGCAGCTGGGAGAGTGAGAGGAGTGAGAAACAGACTTGCAGGTGCCAAGGTCAGTGAAGAAGGAGGGGGAGAGCTGCTCCAGGTGTCAAAGCAGAACTCCCCTGCAGCCTGTGGTGAGGACCATGGTGAAGCAGGATGTCCCCCTGCAGCCCATGGAGTACCACAGTGGAGCAGGGTTCCACGTTGCAGCCCATGGAGGAGACCACAGTGGAGCAGATGGACCTGCACTGACGGCTGCAGCCTGTGGAGGACCCCTGCCAGAGCAGATTCTAGGCTGGACCTGTAGCATGTGGAAAGGAGCCGATGCAGGAGCAGATGACCTGACAGGAGCTGCTGCTTGTGGGGGGCCCAGGTTGGAGCAGTTTGCTACTGATAGATGGACTCCATGGTGTAGTGGGTTTACGTGGCACAGTTTTGGTAGCAGGGGGCCATAGGGGTGGTTTCTATGAGAAGGATCTAGAAGCTGCCCCATGTTTGGTAAGGGCCCCACTGCTGACCAGAGCCGAGCCAATAAGAGATATTGTTTTGCGCCTCTGTGACAGCATATTTAAAACAGGGGAAAAAAACACTGTGCCACACAGCAGCTGGGAGAACAAGAGGAGTGAGGAACGGCCTTGCAGGCGCCAAGGTCAGTGAAGAAGGAGGGGGAGAGGTGCTCCAGGTGCCGGAGCAGAAGTCCCCTGCGGCCTGTGGTGAGGACCATGGTGAAGCAGGCTGTCCCCCTGCAGCCCATGGAGTACCACGGTGAAGCAGGGTTCCATGCTGCAGCCCGTGGAGGAGACCACGGTGGAGCAGGTGGCCCTGCACCGACGGAGGCTGCCGTCTGTGGAAGACCCCTGCCGGAGCAGATTCCGGGCTGGACCTGTAGCCCGTGGAGAGGAGACCACGCAGGAGCAGGTGACCTGGCAGGAGCTGCTGCCCGTGGGGGAGCCAGGTTGGAGAAGTTTTCTCCTGTGGGATGGACCCCGTGGTATGGACCCATATCTGGAGCAGTTCTGGAAGAGCTGCTGCGTGTGGGAAGCCCACGCTGGATCAGTTCATTAAGGACTGCATCCCGTGGGAGGGACCCACAGCACAGGGGACAAGAGTGACCGAGAAGGAGCGGCAGAGAAGCGCTATAGACTGACCATAAGCCCCATTCCCCCATTTCCCTGCGCCGCTTGGGGGGAGGAGGTGGAAGAGGGTGGATGGGGGGGGGAAGGTGCTTTTGGTTTCTTTCCTTTGTTTCTCACTTCCCTAGCTTGTTAGTAATAAGTAATAAATCTTATTGTCTCCCTATGTTGATTCTGTTTTGCCCGTTACAATAATTACTGCGTGATCTGCTTGTCCTTATCTAAAACTTTGAGCCTTTTTCATCGTATTTTCTCCCCATTCCTCTTTGAGGAGGGCGAGTGAGAGAGCGGCTGTGGTGGAGCTCGGCTGCCCACTTGAGCGGAACCACGACACATGATACAGACCCATATCTGGAGCAGTTCTTGAAGAGCTGCTGCCTGTGGGCAGCCCACACAGGATCAGTTCAGCAAGGACTGCATCTCATGGGAGGGATCCCATGGCACAGGGGACAAGAGTGACTGAGAAGAAGCAGCAGCGAAGAAGCACTATAGACTGACCACAACCCTCATTCCCCCATTCCCCTGTGCCACTTGGGAGGAGGAGGTGGAAGAGGGCGGATAGGGGGAAGGCGCTTTTGGTTTCTTTTCTTTGTATCTCATTTCTCTAGCTTGTTAGTAAGAGGCAATAAATCTTACTGTCTCCCTATACTGAGTCTGTTTTGCCCATGACAATAACTTTTGAGCGATCTCCCCGTCCTTGTCTCAACCCTGGAGCCCTTTGCACCATATTTTCTCCCCTTGCCCTTTTAGAAGGGGGAGTGAGAGAGCAGTTGTGGTGGAGCTCAGCTGCCCACCCAAGTAAAACCACCACACAAATAGAGGGAAATAACCACCACCCTGTCTCAATCTGCTGGCTGTGATCTTTTAATGGAGCCCAGTACTCAGTTACACTGCACTTCTACAAATATGATTTACTTCGTTAAATCTGTTGATTGTTCCAGGTCACAACTTGTCCTTCATGAGTTTAGAAATAGATATGCTCTGTTAGTTTTCAAAGTACTGAAGTGGGGCTAACCAGCCTACAGCTCTGTAAATCCAATACACAAGTTGTGTGTAACATCAGCCTTTTCTCAGTTATCAGCAAGCCCTCAAATGCTATGATTTTTCACAATTTACAGTGGCCTCAGAAGCATATCAGCACCTTCTTTCAGCACCTGCTGAGGAGCCCCATCTAGCCCCATGGACTGCAATACATCCACCCACCTTCCCTATATAGTCCCAAACTGTTGTTTCCCCACAGAGTTGTTCTCATTCCCAAATTGCACCAGTGTGTGCAGAGATCTGAGAGCAGGTTTTCTCCGAGACAAAAAGTCATTGAGTGCTTCAGGCTTTTCCACCACTGGGTCCTCTCCCATTCAGAAATAGAAGTGCATTTTATCTGAGCTTCCTTTTACTTCTGTCATGCTTGTAAAATCACATCTTGTTACCTTTTATGTTTCTTCTCCAGTTTTAGCTCCAACTGGGCTTTGGTCTTTCTGGTTTTGTCCCTACATGTCTGAGCAATACTTTTATACTTCTCCTTTGTTGACTGCCCTTGTTTCCACTTCTTATGTGCTTGGCATTTTAGTTCATTAAGAAGCTTCTTGCTTAGCCAAGTGGGCCTCCTGCCAAAATTCCCAGTCTTCCTGAACAATGGACTGAACAAGTGGTGCATGTTGATCTCCAGGAAACTTACTTTTGGCAATGAACTTAGTGGGGGAGGGAAAGTTATAGGAAATTGTTTTCCAAGGAAGGATTCTAACTTTCCTTCCCTATGGAGGATATTTCAGTATTTCAAGGTTGCAGTGTTAGCCAATTAGTTGCACACAACTGTTGTGATGCTTTAAATGGAAGGGAGTTTGTATTTGGTATCGTAGTGTTTTGTTTAAAGGTGGGATCTATTTTAGCAAAGGAATTCCCTTACATTAATCTCGTTTTATTAGCTGTGAGGGTAATTGCATAGTTGTAAGATTTTCCTCAAAGCTAATACACCCTATGCTTCAGGGTCTAAGTGCATACCTCAGCCCTATTTTGTTTTAAATTATTAATTTTGGTGATTAGATGATCACAATGGTAGGTGTGCTGGTCTTGGTTCTGGGTGTATTCTATCCATTTCTTATGTTGCTGGCTGTGACTAGGAAATTAGGGTTTGTACAGAAAGTGATTAATGAAGCTGTGGTAGAAATCAATTGGGATTCTAGGTTTTCAGTCCAGAAAATTTATAATCTCTTTTTCATGGTGACTCCTATAGCATATTGCGGGGGTATATTGTTTTCCCAGCTGTGACAATGCTTGAGGAATGTGTTTGTTATTGAAGGCAAAGTTTTGGGTGCTAATGGTAAAATGTGTGAGACAGTCTTTGTTTCAAGGTGCTCTTTCTATCCTACAAATGCTTGTTTTCTAGCCTAAGATCCTTCTTTGCTCTGAAAGTACCTACTGCCTTTTTTTCACTGCTAAATATAAACATAAAATTCAGAGCAATTGTTCTCTACTCATATTCAGCTTTGAAGAGCATCACTTGTCTTTCAAATCTAATAAAAGATATATCTGTTTTTCTCTTCCAGCTATACCAGTTGATCTAGTAAAATGTATTACTTCTCTACAATCCTCTTCTCCCTCTAATTCAGAGAACATAATAGACTGTATTTGAATAGCTACTCAAATCTGCTTTTTCATCTGTGTCTCCTCTCATTTAGCCACTTGCAGAGCAAGAATCATAAAATCATAGAATCAGAGAACCATTAAGGTTGGGGAATTTCTGGAGGTCATCTATTCCAGTTATTTACTCTAAGGGAGCTAATTCATTTCTGGTTGCACTTATCTATTCTAAACTTCATGAGTTCAGTCCATTTCTCCAGTCTGTCCATGCCTCTGAGTGGCAGCCCCACCCTCCAACCATCTTCTTTCTCCACTTTTATTGTCATCCAAAAACTTGCTGAGGGTGCACTCCATCCTTGGAGATCAAATAGCTGTCCTGGGCCTCTTTGCCCTATGGAAAAAAAGAAAAAAAAATACTAGATGTACAGGAGAAAGTTAAATTATTAACTTTAGTTGGTGGGATTCCAAGGGTAAGGAAGAGGCTTGACCAGTAAGGTTAGAGTCAAGGAAGAAAATATCAGAGGGGACTTTTGTGAAGAATAAATCTTTTTTTTCTGGCTTCTAAATCTGAGAAATGCAGGCATCAAGCAAGAAAGACATAATATGAAGTACTTTATTTTTCTTTTCAATTTACTTTGATCAAAATACTATTAATTATTTCCACTAATAGAAACCCTCTTTCTACAAAAAGGCACAGTATGGAACTGACTATCAACCTAGAAGCCAAAAGGGATTCTCTTCAGAAGAATATTTTCCAATTAAGACATCCTCAGTTGAAAAACATATTCTATAAAACATTTTATTTATTTATTTATTTATTTATTTATTTTTATAGACAGCTATACTGTTCTCTTACTTAAGCAGGTTTTTTTCTGAAAAGTTTGCTCTGAGACCAGTTTTATTTGCCCTTGAAGTTTTCTTTCCCTTCTGTTTACACACAGGTTTTACATTTTGAGTCTCAGTAGCTTGTGAAGATCTTTAAAACATAATTTAGTTTTGCAACTAAAATAATATTCATGCCATTATACAAAAGACTTGATTTTTGCACAGTGAATTTCCTTCAAATCAAATAAAAGTATTTAAACAACTGATAAAAATTAAAATTGGAAAAATATCTTAAAAATCCATTCTGAGAATGCTTGTATCTTTGGCTAAATCTAAGCAGAATTGAGTCAACCCCCAACCCTTCTGTGAAGCCATTCGACACACTCTGTCCAGGCGCAGGTTGAAGAATTGTGAAAGTAGTCCCTGAGACAATTCACAACAATGTAGGTCTCTCACTGCACGCGCACATTAAAGTGTGCTTTTTCTTGACGAAGTGAGAATGGTTTTCTGTTATAAACCAAGCTACTTCTATTTACATTGTTTACCAACCTGTAAACTCTAACCCTGTCACTGGGACTGGGGGGGTGTTACTTTATAATTCAGCGTGCCTTCTAATTTGAATGAACCTTCATTTTAAAGTAAACGCTGTAAGAGAATTTCAGCTCAGGCAAATAAATAGCCAAAATAGAAACCTGTGACATGGGTCTGAGGTTTATTATAGCCCATTTAGCATAAATATATATCCCTGGTATAGCAAGAGCCTGGGTTTTCTTTCAGTCTACATTATCAGTATATTTTTACCTCCGCTTGAAGTTTTTACCTTTGTTTTTACCTCCACAAGAAGTGGCCTTCTTGTCCACTTGACTTGTCCTTTTCTTACTGCTGAACTCCTCTTGACTGAGGGCTGCATGAATCTTCCCAGTCATGAACCAAGGGAGCTGTAGCTAGAAAGGGATGTCCTCTCTCTCACTTGATGTTAAAGCACAAAATTATTTCCCCTCATTGCACCTATGCTGCTCAGTAGCAAAGTAGAAACTTTTCGTTATGTCTTTCAAGCCTAAGCAAGCAGCGGTCTGCTGGCAAGAAATTTAAGCTCAGACTTCAATGACTATTTCCTGGTTGGGTTGGCTGCCAATACTATAACAAAGACAAAAACTTTGAAGAAAACAGGCCAGATGGCATAGAGGCTTGCAGACCTCTGATATAATGCTGGTCATAGCTGATGTACTGATGCCAAACTGTTGTGTCTTAATTGTCCTATGTGGCTACCTTGCAGAGAGAATATATGCCCAGTTCCAGACCTTGATGGGAACCAGAAATGAAAGTAATGTCTCTCCTGAACCAGAAGCCATCTGGCTTCATTTTTCATTCTGCAATAAACATCTCAGTGCTCATCACCCTGTCTGGAGGAGTGACTTGGTCCCGTTAAAGGGTGTTCAAGCATGCAAGATACAGCTGATACCAGCTGAAAAATCCCTGAAATCAGATAATCACTTGACTTTATGGCTATGGTATATTCAAACCTTGCTATGAGATTTTTGGATTGTGCTGCTTCACGTCATCCAATCACCTTTGTCTTGCAAGCCTCAGCCTGCTCATCTGCATCAGTGCAGGGAGGTCAGTGTGGACGCTGACAACATCATTCAGCATTTCAGCCATTCCTTCGAGGTACATGAGAGCCTCACAGGTGAGCATGCTGCAGACCACTTTTGGACAGGACAAATGGAAGGTCCTTTCTAGCTGTGATGTAAGTGCTTCTGGGACAGACATCAGACTTGTTGGCAGCCCACATGCCTTGCAGCATGGATACAAATGAGGTGCCTGGAGGCACTGCAGGGCACGCAAGAAGAATATGAATGGTTGTCTTCGATGTGCTGCACTGTTAATCAAAAGCAATCTCAAAGGTTGCCTTTGTGATCACACATCAAAAAGCAATGTCCCAAAGAACTACGACATACCTGAGGGTACCAAAAAGCTACCAGTAACTCCATTTTAAGTTACCTGAGTGCTGAAGCAAAGGCTTCCTAATGTATTTGAAACTATCACGTGTCAAAAGAAATAAATCTCCACTTCAGGTCCATTTGAAGTACATCTGAAATAACTCAGCGTTACCCCTCAGGAAGGCCCCAGTAGTTTAGCTGTGGTCTAAGCACTCCTGGCTCACTGGGACTGCAGTGAGTCCAATTCAGCTGCGTCCACCTTTGATGTAGTGGTTGGTGCTGGGCATCTCTAGGTCTGGAGCACAGGAGGCCTCTCATGCAGGAGCTCAGGCTGTGTACTGCTCCCCTGGAGAGATGCTCTTCGGAAGACATCAGGAGCAACCTCTGCTTCCATCTGGCCAAAAAAAGTCTCTCCAGCAGCTTCTCTTGGGGTTGTGCACACAAGACCAATTCATCCTGTCTAGTGCTCCTTGTCTCCTCCATCCTTCTCCAGCCATCATTGCTTCTCAATTCTTTCTCTGCTTCGTGTGCAGCTTGCAGAATGGGAGGCTGCAAACTCCTCTCACAGTACAGATGAAGCATGAGCTGATGGTATTTTCAGTGCTTTGTTATTCAGGACAGCTAAACTATTCCTTACAACTGTCCTGAATCAAGGCCAGAGGACCCATATTATACTATCAAGCAATGACAATTCTCTAACTTTCTCACTTTTGTTTAAAATAAAGTAATATATGTAAATGGACGGGGGAAAAAATGTCCCTGCAGTGTAAGACTGCACAGTTAAATTCCCCAGAAAGGGAGAATTTAACTTTCCATATTGACTGCACCTTGCTACAGATATATACAGATATATACTATATCTGTTTTTTCTGGTTCTCAATGAATATATTGAGTAACAACTACAATACTTTATTAAAATTTCTTGTGCAGTAGTGCATCACAGCTCACCATGATATTGCTTGACTACCTGCAACTGTGGTACAGAACATATCAAAATGGTGTGGCAACCAAAAGCAATTATAAATGTGGCAGTATCACTACCAGACTATTTAATCTTAAATTCTGCTTATATTTGTGCTCCTCTTTAAGAAGCTTATGATATATTCAACCCATAGTGCACAGATCGCTGTGCTTTTCTGGTTAAATTAAAGGAAACAAGTGGCATTCATTCCTATCTATAAATTAATATACAAGATGAATCAGAAAGTAGGATAACTCTGTATGTTAATTATTTTGTAGATACAACAAACAAAAACATCTTGAAAAACCGGGCTAAAATTCTGCATGTTTTCCTCAAAAAAAAAAAAAAAAAAAAAAAAAAAAAAAAAAAAAAGCAGAAAATAATTTAAATAATTTCTCTCTCACAAAAAAAAAAAAAAAAAAAAAAAAGGAAAAAATAATAATAATGATAATTAAAAAAAGCTTGTCATTTATAGTTGTGTGCTTATCCAATTTTCTCCACCTTGGCTCTATCTTTCTTTCTTTGTCTGACATGACTAACACTTTGAACATTGATAAAACAATATCTCCTAGAAAATCCTTTTAATCGTTCCACAGGTAATGTAAACAGATGCCAGATTCTGAGATCTTTTACTTGTGTTTTTTTTTTTTTTTTACTAATTTGGTTTCTTTCAAATAGGATTTAAAAAAAAAAAAAAAAAAAAAAAAAAGCAGAATATATTAATGGTAGAAATCCAAAACTGCTTCTCAAGCTTGCCTGTCATTCTGGGCAAGAGATAATTGCTTTCTACATATATTTTAAAAAGTACTACAAAGTGACAGCAACTAGAAGCATAGAAAAACTACCTTAAAACACACAAATTAAAACAAACAAGATGCCAGAGGCACTCTTAGGGAAAGAATGAAGTACGGTCCTCCAGGCTCAGCTCTTTCAGATGCTCTCAAAGAATGCTAGGGGAAAATGTTGACCTGTCAAAGTAACTGATTTACAAACTCATTCCTATAAAATGACTGTCATTATTCTTGCAGGCTAAAAAACTAGACAAAGCTAGGGCCACAGAGCCAAAAATCCAGTGCAGATGTATTTCCATAATCACAGCCAGAAAAACCCTGCAGTTTGGAATATCTACCTTAGTTCTGTAAAGTACTAGTCTACATTTAACATAGGTATCATGTATGTGTTAAAAAAATGGTACTTCAGAAATATGCTTTTTATGCAAAGAAACTGCAGGCAGGACTTGGAGATAAGAGTAAACATTAAGATTATTTTGTGTTCTTTCACATTTATTTCATTTGCACTTTCTCTCCCATTCTCCATCTCAAGGACTTGTGCACATTACAAATAACTGTAGTCATTAAAACTATTTTGGTATGGTTTGTACAGTTTTTTTCTCCCCTCTATAATCTTCATGTCTCACAGACAATGCCTGAATCTCAAGGCTTTCCTCTCAACTGCATAATTTAAAGAAAAAGAAAGTACTTCAGTGTTGCTTTATAATATGTGGTTTAATCCACTGCCATCCATTTGGTCTTGGGAAAAAATTATCATATTATCTACTGTAAAACATATGAAGCAAACAGTAATAATAACAGCAAAAAAATAGATAAAATAAAATAAATAAAAGAATTAAAAAAAAAAAATCAAATATTTCCCTGTGGTCTTAAAAAAAAATATCAGAATCAAGAGCTTCTCCTCAAGCTTCACCAGAGACTCCAGAGACTTTTTCTTGGAGTCATTCCTGTAGCCTATCCCAGTTCATGGTTTCAGTTCTTTCATACAACACAGCTATTTGTGTTGCTTCTGATCCTGCTGATTTCTTATTAGCGCACCTGCAGATCTTTAAATCTGCCATCACAAAGGCCAAATGAGAAACTGATTGCTTTGCAGATTTCAAGTAGATTCTTATTTTAAGTGCCTAAAATGCAGATGGGTATCTAGCGGGATTTTCAAATACACATCATCACCTAACTCCCATTGCTTTTATCATTTCTTTTGCATTTTCAGAAGATAGTTTTATCTGTCTGGCAGGCCTTCAAGGTCAAGCTGATACACAAATTAAAAACACTGGGGGAAATTAAAATTCATTTCTGCAAAGCTGATAATATTTGAACTTTGCAGCTTCTATTTACGTAGCTAAAAATGGAAATGCCCTACTTCTATTAAGCCATATTGTTTACCTAAGAAATATTCTGTGAATTTTGATTTTAAAATAAATTCAATTTTTCTTACAGTTTCTCAGAATATCCAAGTTCCTGCAGAGCTGCTATGTTGTTCATACAAACTCAAAACCCACACAGAGTAGCAAAAGAGAGTATAAGTAAACAACTAATCAGAATTGTGCTTACTAAACCAATAGAAGTCATCTGAGTCATCTGTCTACGGATGACAATGAATTGATTGGAGTGTTGCATTTTCACATATATCATTAGAAGCCAGGATATGAGTCTACAATCTGAAAATGCATATATATGTACCTGGAACTTTGTACAACCAAAACGAATCTATGAATAAATTTGTGCAGACCAGGGTCATATAAAATGCACAGATTTTGTGAAGGAATACAATTCTAATTTGTACTGTATCTCGAGGCTACTGAAGTGGGCAGAAAGCTGAAAGCAATTTGGATCAGCAGCACTTTCCAACAAGTAGTCCTCTCTTTGTAGTAATGTCAAGATGGTACCTGGCACACCCCAGTACTTAACTGATGAATATGAACCACACCATTTAATTTTGTATAGAATCCCTGAACCACTGAGTTAGGTCCTGGGCACAGTTTCAGCTGTGAGGTCCTTCCTTCCACTCTGAGTGCCACCTCCTTTTTCTTCTCCAGCTCAGTGAGGAAACACAGTTGAGCTTGGCAGTAATTGAGCACCGAATGAAGATTAATAAAACCAAGCATTAAATATTAGTTCAATTGAACAGAGAGATCCAATTGCACTCTTGCCTTCAGACACACCAAGCATTCATGACCCTGCAATAATTAAGACTGAAATTCTTATATATATAAGAATAAATGTGTATATATATATATATATTTATTGATTGATTGATTTTTCCCTCCGGAAATGAAACTTCTGCAAATGCACTGCATCTGGGCCTTCAAAGATATTTCCTCCTCTGTTTCCAGACAACACCGAACATGGGCCAGAATGAATGATACTTAACAGAGAGACAGTGGTGTTGAAATGTTTATCTCCATTAAGAGGAAAGACTCCACTTTTGCACCTCTGGACAGGTGAACCTGCTTTTTGCCATGGATAAGGGCAATCTTCTGCTTGTGGCTCCTTCCCTGGCTCTCTACCAGCATCCTGTCAGGACAGAGCTTACTTGGAAACCTCTCCTTTCCAGTAGGTTTGGATCACCAGTAGATAAGGAGAAAGATTTTCATCAGACCTACTATGGGAAGTTTCCTATCATTTGACAATTTTATATTCTGGAAATTCTGAACATGTGAAAAGATCAGCATTAGACTATTTTCTGCCAAGAGAATGTAAGCAAAACAATTTAGAAAGGATAGAAAATATTACTACGTAAGGCACATTTTTCTTAGGCCTCCAGGAGCATGATGTTATTTCAAACATGGTATTGCAAAATAAGTATATGGAAGCTCATTCCTAATATTTCTTTTGCCTCTCAGCTTGACTGCTCCTTGCATCATCCTTCAGCTTCCTTGCACCATCACAAGACGGAGTGTAGCAAATTACATCCACCAACAGACAGTCAACTCCAGATGCTAACAGCCACTAATTAGTAAGGGAGAAAGGGAGAATGCTGTTTTGCTACCTGTTGCCATAGCATTTAATAGACTCTGTTCTCCCAAACCCCACAGTTTTCCATCCCTCCTGCTCCCCAGGTGCCATTAGTGGAGAATAATGGTTCCCAAGCTGAGGTCTGCAGATCACAGATGGGCTGCAAAGCCACACTTTGAAAGGCTTCCTAATTGGTAGCTCATACGTGTGTTCCTGGCTGCAGCAGAGTATTAATGCTGCCTCCCTGGCTAGGTGAAAGCAGGTGTATTCTCCAGCATGAGGAAGGCCCACAGAAGGTCCAGCTGCTGCTTATTGGTCTGGGGAACTAACAGCAGAGGAGTTCATAGATGAATTTCTTGTTGAACAGTAGTAAATTGCTTCAATAATAAAGTTGCATCTGGAGACAGTACTTCAAAGCTTACCAGGTTCCCGTTAGAAATTTTCAATACTGTGAAACCACAACAAAATATTTATGCCATCACATACTTTTAAAACATGCTTACAACATTTCTGAAATGTGCAACTACTGTTTGGTTTTGAGTTTTGTTTTTTATTTTGTGTCTTTGTTTGCTCGACATCCATTCATACCCAGAGAAAGTGATATTTATTTGAAAGAAGCTTACTGTTGAAAGTCAGGGTAAATCTATCAGATGTTGAGGCATCAAGACAGAGAGAAAAGAGGTAGCTATTACTGCTGCCCACAGTGTCCAATGACACTGTGAAATCTTTCTTCTATAGAAGTGGTTTATGTAGAAAAGATTTATTCATTTATGTATTAGGAAATTCAAAGACTGGCCTGTGTTCTATATTTATTCACTGACATTGGTCTCTGGTACTGTTTTCTATCCAGAAGAGGGAACATACCTGTTTCCAAATGCTTATCTTAATTGCATTTGCACAGTACAGGAATTTTGTGAGAAGTACTAGTCACAAATAAAAAAACATATAAAAAGACCAGCAAATCCTTAAAAACTCTTATCACCAGCAAAAAAAATGGACAGTAGGTAACTTTATTTTAATAATCCGATTTCATTATTCTGAAGACATGTCTATTTAAACACTATTCCTATAAGTGGAGTGCATTATATTCATCACTTTGAATGAAGTAATTTGCCCCTCTAATTTTTGAATGCACCAAATATCTAACTTTTCAGACTGTATTTTTGTATTCCTGTGAGCAGGTAAAATGCTGCACCACTTGAAAAGACTATTTAAAATAGATGCTGTAGCACAGAATGGTGTCATCCCCCAAAATCCTGCACAAATTTTCCTTCTATCTTAAGTGGGTAATTACAGCAAGAAATGGCCTTCCTCCTCCTGCCTACAACGCAATCTGGATGTTTAACTGAAGCTTTTCCTGTCAGAAAAGGCACAGTGGTGTTCTTGGCAGTCACATCAGAGGATGGAGGGATTTCTGTCATTTCCCATCCACTCTCTACGCTGCTTTCATGTCTCTTGTTCCTACTTTGTTGCATGATAATTTAACCCAACTGCTATTTGTCTTACTGTAACTATTCCTTCATTCTCTATTTCTTTTTTCTTCCTCCTGTTCCTCTTTACCTTTAGCTCCCTGTCCTTCATCTGCTCACCTTCTCGTGTTTTATCATAAATCGGTGGGCCCTGGGGTGTTCAGACTCCTCTCATGCCATCTGTGGCTTCTCTGCTCTCTCAGTGCATGTCCAATGACACATTACTCTCTCAGCCATGTGTCATTGAAGGGACAAATGGTCACTAATTGTTGTGGTGCTGAGGCACGCAAGCACAGGAATTAAAACTTTGTTACACTGATTTTAAGAGTCAGCTGATTACACATCCCTGCTTGCCTTCCCCCAAACTCAGACCCAGGTGTGATCTGTGATATTTTGGTGTTTTTCTGGTTTTTCTTTGATCAGCTAGGTTTGCTGAAAAGATTAGCAGAATCCAAGAAAGCTGCTCAGGAAGAAAGGACACTGATCTTACCTGCCTAAACAACCGAATCGAGACGGAAACACTGGAGTATCATGAGATGCCGAGGCTATCACAATTACAAATAAGCCCTGCTTATCAAAGCAGTGAAATCCATTAAACAAAATTTTAGTCCATAGCTTTTCTCTGTGTTTAAAATCTCTAATAAACATTATGGCTATGCTGATGAGCTGTCAAGAGAGAAGGAAGCAGTGACAGATTCAGATTATCTCCCCAAATTCCTGTCTGTAGGGAAGATTTTCAGACCTATGACAATGACCACTCTGCACTTCCTCAGCCAGCATCCCAGACCCACTACTAGGACAAAGCATCAGAAGATAGGGAAAAAGATAATCTCCATCTCTTTCAAATACCAGATGTCTGTATTCCTACTGAAGAGCACTGGTGCAAAATGCCCCATGGGCTCCGTTCTGGCTTACATCCCCAGTCAGAAGCAATAAAATCCACCTGGAAACGTCTATCAAGTCAGAAGATGAAAACTTTTTACCAAATATCTTCATGTAGCCACCAGGAAGTTAATCTCTTGGAGACTTTCCTTTCAGTGAAGCAACTCCTGCTACTGCTCCCATTGGATGGATGCTGCAGATGCTGTCAGGCAGTCGTGAGTCATCCAGTGTCTCTGGGCATTGCCCTTCTCGTGCCAGGAGCTCCCATTGCATGCAGCAGTTTAAATGCAGGGGCCAGCCTTGCATGGCAGTTATAGAGCTGCCATCCCACCCCCTGCAGTTGGTGTTAAAAAGAAGATAAACATCCAAAGTTGAGGGAAAAATAATTTCTGTAACATTGTGAACAGATATAATAGTTACACTGAGGAACCAGAATCAAGTCCCGTTATAAAAAGAGGAGAAAACTTTTCATCATCTGCTGAGGCAAAGGGATCATTTTCTGCTGTTTCTCTTTTTATGTTTTTTTCTTATCCTGAATATATGAGCTCAGTTTTCAATTAAAACATTTCACTTATTTCTGCTCACTACTTAGAAATAAAAGGAATTCGTTGTATCGATTAAAAAAAAAAAAAAAAAAAAAAAAGAGAGAGAGAGAGAGAGAGAAAGAAATGCTTGACAAGCACAGGACTGTCAAAATTAGTTCATTAGGCTCCATTCAAATGATGTTTCTTGCTATGCTAAGCAACCAAAGTGGTTTAAGGCTTTTGAAATATAATTGTTAATTGTTTGCTTTTTTTTTTTTTTCTTTCCCTCCTTCTGATACATTTTTCTTTGATAGTTTGGGAACATAGTGCTAATTGAAAACCTTTCAGAGGAACTCAATCCTACTCTATAGTCTGTGAAGCAAAGACAGACGTTTAAACAAAGTGAAATGGAACACATCCAGTTGGGGAAAGGCTGTTATTCATTACAGCAGGGATTTCAAGCACCACATGACCACCCATCTCCAAAATCCTCATTATCTGCCTGAAGTATCTGTCAAAGTATGTTTTCTCTATACAGGTTACTGGGAAAAGAAATCACAGGGACTAATCAGACACAGTTGTTGTTGGAAACACTTGATGGGAGAGATGGAAAGGAGAAATGATCCAAGAAAGGGGTAAAAAGAAAAAAGGAAAGGAATGAGTAGCTTGAGACTGTTGTTTAGGAGTTATAGAAAAAGGCAGAGCAGAGCAGCAAAGCTGAAAGGCATAACCTGGATGGCAGGGATGGCAACAAAGTAATGCAGACAGAGACTATAAAATGTGCACTGCTTTGTTGGGGAAACTGAAGATGAGAGATAATGTTTGGAAGAAAAGTGTGCTTCATAAAAAGCATCGTGGTTTCTTAGAATTAAAAACTGTTGACTTTCCAGGGCCTAAATGGCAAAGTTGTTTCCCTGAAGTATAGGTACAACAGCTAGGTTTGGGGCACATAAGAGACTTTCAAAGGCATAAATTCAGTGTGAAAACACAGAAGACGACTCTTGATTTTTGAACAACTGTGCCTACCCATTGTGATGCTGTGCATCTATCTTGTATATAAAATAAGCTAATGTGCAATGGCAGAGAGTGTCTGTGCATAATGAGGGCATGAGGAGGGCAGGATGGCTGTGCTTCCTTCTTAGCTCTGGAAGCACAAACATAAGCACTTTGTTGCATAGCATCAGAAGCACCCAACTTGACTATTCTGGCTCTAAAATCATCCTGGAATTAAAAAGAAAAGGAAAAAAAAAAAAAAAAAAAAAGAAGAGGGGGGGAGGGGGAATAAAATAAAATGTGTACAGAAGGAAATCTCTTCAAATTGTTTCAGTTTTAATTATTTCACGTTGCTATGCCTAACCCAAGAAAATGTAATTTAGAAACATTTTCCCCTTTAACACAGTGTTTAATGTTAATCTGGTATTCTCTTCACTATATGGTGTTAATGGATACACCATCTCGCGTGTTTTATGGTACATTTAAAGCAGACATCTGGAGAAATAGCCATCAGAGTACTTATCTCTAACACCTATTGTAAAAACAGACTTAATAAAATGAGAACAAATAACAGTGCTGGCAATTACGCTTATCATGTGTATTCTGGCAAGAAAGGTCAAAAGGTTGTCGGTCTGTATATATATGAACTGATTTTCTGTAATACAGTTTCTCACCTGATTTCCCATAGGTTTTTAGAGGCTTTTTGTTTGAGGGGGAGGGGAAGGGAAAGTTGGGTTAGGCTACAATATGCCAGAAAATAATCGTGTAACTAACAGAAGAATCTGGTACCCCTACCAAGTAGCCATTTTATGTCAGCAAAGAGTGAAAGAACCTGTCAGGATCTCAGAAGACAAAATGTCCTACAATTTTACAGGTATGTACAGATGTGGACAGGGTAGCCATGGTCTCAGCTGCTATACATTACTAGCACATCAAAAGCTATTATTTTAATATTATTTTCTAGTTATAGATCTGTTCTATATAAGGGAATATCATTTTATACTTTTCACTTTTTGTTTTTGTTTTTTTTTTCAGATGGATTCAGCATGGAGTTTATGTCTGTTGTATGTTGCTCCAAGCATTTGATGCACTATAAATCCATAAGATAACCAGATAACTGAAGTAGTAAATTCAGCAGGAAGAAGTTTAAATCAGTTCATGGGCAATTTTATTCTGACAGTACTTACCCAAGTTTAGAGGATCCACAGTGGTGAAGTCTTTCACAGAAAAACAGAAAGAATGTTGTGGGTTTGTTTGTTTGTTTGTTTGTTTGTTTTTAGAGTGCTGTAAAGAAATGAATCTGGATTAAATTCAGGAATTAATTTAACGTAGAATAGTTTTGCAAGACTATTTCCCTTATGTATACACTCCAGTTCTGGAGGAAGAATGCCCCTTTTCTGATTGATATTAACCCAGCATCTGTGTGGAGAGTTAATCCAGAGTTGCTTCTGTAGCTAATTTCCCCTGGCAGACATACTCCAAACAGAAGAAATAATCTTTTCTTATAAATTGCAAAGAACAGGTGGTTTTCCACATACTATATCTTAGTAAACTTAAGTCCTCCATCTCATTCAGCTTTTTTTTTCTCTCTATAGCCCATCTAGAACACAGATGCTTGTTTGCATTGATGCTCTTACTTCTTTATCTCTGTTTTTTACAATACCACCAATATTACAGCACACCCTCGTATTGCACATGCTAAGAGATATCTTACAGCCCCAAGAAAATATAAAGTAGTTCCTCAAAATAAATGTTCCAGCAGACTAACCTACAGGTACATGAAGTTTAATTACATGTTTGAGGAATTATGTAAGTGAATTCAAAACCAAAACAAAGCAGAAAGCTTTTTGCAGATAAATTTTGTCTAGCATCTGAGCTACTCCGAACTTAGTGCCTAAAATAGTTCTGAATTTCATTAATGGATTTTTGAAAGTCATGGTCTATTTTAATATCCCTTTGTACAAAACAGGCAAACCCAGACAGTTATTACATAGCAGCCTTATTCAGATGATGCTCATGTTTCTTGAAATAACTTTTTTTTCCCCCTGATTTTACAGAAAAGAGGCAAAAGAACTAGATTAAATTTGGGGAGTGTTCTCATTGTTGCAAGGAAACATCCTGGAGGACGAATGAGCTATTGACATTCTCTCCTCAAGCAAGAAGCTGTCCCAGGAGATCCATAAGAAACAAGAAATAACAGCAAAGACTGAAAAACAAATTGATGAAACCAGAGATGGCTGCAGACCTGTAAATAGCTTTTCACACTGTTGCAGTTACTTTTTGAATTGAATAGTTTAGATTTGCAAATTGATGGAGAAATCCAGTCATTTCTTGAAAAAAAACGTGAGAAGAAGAGATTTCACTTTAAATCCAACTTTAAAATAAATACCAATGCTTATATTTAGTCTGCAAAATCATACCTATTGTAATATTAAGGAGTGCTGAGGGGACAAACCATGGCATAATTTGAACCATGGTTTTTAATACTTCAGCTGAGATTCATTGTTTCAGTGTTCACAAGTTTGTTTTCCAATGTTTTGTATAGGATTAGATTGTAAATCACTCAAGCATGTTAATTAGCTTCCCTCTAACCTGCTTTACATCAATGCCACGTATCAATACTCTTTGGCTTAGTTTATTAATCTTGCATCATGTCTATTTACAACAGTGAAAAATCTAATTCATTACACAGAGGATCAGCAATGTTGAAGATCATTATATGTACAGGTGTATTTAAACATACACCCCATTATGGCAAATTTGGGAAATCAAAGAGCTTGCAACTATTGAAGCCTTTAGCAGACATAAAAATGCAAATATTTCGTGAAAATTATTTAAAGCCTAGCGGTGATTAAATTATGTTGGGATTTGTCCTTGGTGAAACCTGCAGTCACAAGCACCCTGCTTTAATTCATTCTTGCTCTCCTCACTGCAGGCTGCTATCAATGTGCAGGCTCAAGTCATAAGCTTCAGAATCACTACAAATATTTCTCTCCTTACAAAAGGCATCCTCACGTAAGAAATCTTCTCAACATCCCAAAATATTACAAAGAAACAATAATTATGGCTAATTACTCACTCCCAGTACACTTATTTGTGGTCTACAATTTCAAAAGAGTGAATAGAAGACAGGTGCATAAAATAGGCTTAATGAGAACACCAGAAATTAGTTGCTTTAGCTGTAAATTACCACTTTTACATGTTGTATTTTATTTTTAAAAGTAAATGTGTTGCTCATAAAAGATATAAAATTAGTAGGGCTAGAAACTGAGTTCTTTTATTCCACTCCAGAAAAGGCACAACATATTGCCAGTAGTACTGAAAGCTTGCTAACGACATAATATTAATATTCACTAATACCTGGGGGGGTAAATGAATATTGCTTGGCATTAGCCGTTAACAAGCACCGAGTCCCACTGTCTCTCTTGAAGAGTTTCATTCACTATCTATATTTGGTGCTTGCTATTATGGTGCAAACTACATCATTTCTACTACTGCGATCATTTTTTTCCTCCCTAATTAAGCAACTCTTTCCTGGTTTGTCTTTCCTTTTTGTCTCATCTTCCAAGCAGGGATACGATCTCTTTTGGCTCTTTCCTTCCAAGGAAATTCTTCATTCAGGATTATGTTTCTGCCTTTCTCCTGTCTCAGAGAGGTGTACCTTCCTTCGCAACACATAATTTCCTTTGTTATTCTGTGGCCCCAATAAACACTGGAAATTTTCACAAGGCTCCCACTTTCAGGCTCTTCCTCTCTCACCTAGCAGGGAGAAAGCTTTCAGACCTCACACCCGTACCTTCCTCTCCTCCTTGGCACTAAACGTAAGACACTGATGTAGAGGGAAGCAGTTCCCCTCTGTCTCCTGCCTTTGTTGTGGCTCATTTTGCAGGGTGTCTCTGACTGTCAGCCAGATGCTAGATCAGACAACATGAGATGAGAGGCAGCAGCTGAAAGCAAAACAGCTTTAACCTGTGTTGGGAGGCTTGTCTTTTAGCTGCAGATAATTCCTCCTTGCTTTCCACATTCTCCTGTTTGAGCACTTCAGCAGCCTTAGGTCAGATCTGTAGATGCAAAACACTAACCTTTGTCAGCAAGTGAAGGCCTGAGACAAAAGCACTCTCTTACCTTCCCAGGACAAAAAGGTATTTTGATCACTGTTAATCTGAGCCAGACTCAAAAACTTTTCCCAAGAGGTGCAAGACTTCAGTTTTATCAGCCAGACTGAAATTCTCATCACCTTTTTTTTTTCTTTTTTTTTTTTTTATATATATATATAGCTCCTGATAAGATAAATTACCTTTGCCCATCTTAGAAGGAAGGTGCTAACATCTCCTGAAATTGTCATGAAATCATCACACACCTAAAGACTGCTCAGTGATATCCCAAGGAGAACCCTTGCTCCAAGGCAAGGATGGAACATCCTAAGACGTAGGAACTAGTGCCTGGAATTCCTTGGCTTACAGTAGTTACCCAGCACTGGCCTAGGTGACCATAGAAACACAAGGCATTTTCCCTGGGTTTATGTAGGTATATATCTTGATAAAAAAAGAAGCAAGGAATTACTAGGAAAATTATGAAGATCACAGCCTGGTTTAGCTGATCCAGCTGTGTCACACACACTTCTGGTCACTTGATATGGCCGCAAGTCTTCCCCATTAATGTTGATGCTGGATGATCCCAGGAAGAACATAATGTCTGTAAAACTTAATAAAACTGGATAAAAAATCATTAAAGCTTCTAGTGTCTTGTGCATGTACGTGTGTGGGTATTTTTCCCTAAAACAGTTTATCTCTCAGAACAGTAACCACATGAGATTTAGTTTTGTTGTAACACTCTTTTCTATCTACACTGATGTAATACCTCTGACTTTCACTGAACCAGTCAGATTTAGGATTCAGGTTTCTCCACCCAACATACAGACCTGCCATTCAACATCTCCATCCCTCAGCATAAGTAGCAATGAATTATGTCCTTTTAAATATAGGTAACCTTTGTTAAATTTTTATACTTAATTGAAATTTCCAGTCTCTTTTAAATTGTAGTCCTTCTGGATATTTAATTGGTCCTAGATTTTAAAAGATCTATATTCAACTTACGGTATTTGATAGATCCCAAGAGTCTTGTTGCTGGCAGCAAGAACTGTCTCTGCCTGGTGTATACTCAGGCTTAAATAATATCTTTCTAATTGCTTTTTTTCCTTTAACTTAACTTTGAATGAGGAAAAGGTCTCTATCATAACTTGGAAAATAAATTGCTATCCCAATTCCTAGTGGGCAGTCTCTTGTGGCTTACAGATTAGTGGCTAACCAATAGTTTGAATGTGCTAGAAATTCTCATTGCAAGGAATGTGGAAGCCAGAAATGCAGAAATGCATACTGTGTCCATAATCTGGGAAAAAGAAAAAAAAAAAAAAAAGAAAGAAAAAAAAAAGTGTAATGTTTAAACTGGTTGTATGAGCCTATCTGAAACAGATCCTAGAGGATCCTACAGGTTAGGTATGTGTGACTAGTTTGAAGCATAGGACCCTCTGTGTTCCAGAGGCTTCTGAGTGTGGATGTAAATACTTGGGAAGCTGTAGGGGGATCTCAGCCCAAGTGACATCAGGTTTGAGCTGGGCAACCTTGGCTGCCCAGCAGAAGGGCGAGCCAGGTCTTGGTTTTGCTGCACACTAATGAAGTACAGTAAGTCAAGGCCTGCTTATTTGGAACAACTTTTTCCATGGCATTGTGCTTCACTTTCTTTTCTACTTGATGGTGATAAGGACATTCATACATTTTCTATTTTTAATACAGACTTGACTCTCTTGAGGGAGAGTTCCTATAAGGAAGGGTAAAGTCTATAGGTACAATAAAAATTAACAACAAATGCTGCACTAGGCTCTCTAATCTGACCTACTAAATGTCATGAATTTATTAAATGTCACTACAGTATTCCACAAAAAGCTCATAATCTGTAGCTTTATATGTCCCATAGCAAGACGTGCTGTGGGTCACAGAGGGAAGCGTTTAACATGCCTTGGGTACCCAGGACCAACAAGTGCAGGGACAGATTCAGATACAAGCACTCACAGCAGCAACTGCACCATGTCCCAGGCTGCAAAGGGTGGGTCTCTTGCACCTCCAGCCCCCCCAGAATACTCCATCACCTGCTTGACCTGGCTTCTGAGGCCACCCGGAAGAGAAGGCACGTGGACAGAGGCTGAGTACCCAGGCAAAGCATCAGCCCCAGCAGGCAGGTCCTGCTCCCAGCCCAGCTGGGTGAATAGAGAGCCATACCTCCCTGCA